TACCGCATATCAAAATCATAACAGATGCTTAAATTGGAGAAACAGATGAGCCATATGCCTGCCTTAGCATATTACCTTGAGGGAGTTTCCAAGTTACAGTGTAGGGAGGAGAATCTAGATGGATCCTGGTGATTTTCCTAGTTGAGGAGATGGAACAGGGATTTTACAGACCAGAATTCAGAAGAAGGAAAACTCCAGAGGTCTGCAGAAGGTTCTAGACTCCAGTAGAATTGATGACCTGTGTTTCAGAAACCACCAGAGCAGGGGAAAGGACCACATGAACAATCCCTGGAGCTTAACTAGAAAAACCTAGTTCATGAGCATGGGATAGAACACTTAGAAGGGTTTTGTCTCAATAGTGAGATAAAATGAGCCTAAATATGGCTCTTTACCCACCTAACAAAAGCTTAAAAACAAGACCTGAAAGGATCAAACTGTTTCCAAATAGTTGCATCTCAGAACACTTGAGAATGTTTTTTAACATCTCTACTACCCAATTAAATTCAAAATGTCTTAACATTCAATAAATACCAGGTATAGAAAGAAATAGATAAAACCCATAATGAGAAGAAAAATCAATAATTCAAAATTGATCCAGATCTGAAAACTCAAGGTTGGGATCAATATTTGTATTTCTACAGTGCCTGGGACTTAGGAGGTAAAAAAATATTTGTTGACTTTTTATAAGAATGTAATCCTTTCAAGTGGCTTTGTGATTAAGGAAGTAAGTTGGAAGTTGATTAGGAAGAAAAGAAGTTGAGTACATATGAAAATATGTATATGGTAAGCGTGGTGGTGATGGTGGTATAATTGAGGAAAAGTACATGATTGGGCCAGTTTGACCAATGAACTAAGATCAGTAGTTTTTCAGTTTTTGTTTTTCCAGGATTCATTCCCTAGGCTGCTCTGCTGAAAACCAGGAAAATAGTTACTGCCAAAAAGGTGACCTGGCTTGCTTGTTTCATTGAAGATCAGAGAAAATGACCACGGTTAAATTTTAAGAGTTCAAAGGAGGGACTTAAGGAAAGGGGAGTTTATTTTTCATACTGGGGATCGAACCTTACCACTGAGCCACATCCCCAGTCATTTTCAGTTTTTATTTTGGGACAGGGTCTTCTTGCCAAGTTGTTCGCCTCAAACTTGCTATTCTCCTGCCTCAGCTTACAAGTGCTGGGATTACAAATGTGAAATTTAACTCAATTTTGACACTACCAACTTGGAATTAGTGTCACATTCCATAGGTAAGAGATGAAACCTATAAGATTGCCTGCTGCCTCCTCATTTTTAGATATTAATCCAAGTGATAGACCTACAGGTTACCTACAACTTCTATCTGACTTGGATACCAATTGAATATTCCCATAGCCCCCTCCTCAATTTCAATCTTTTGCTTAAACAGCTCACAGAACTTGGAAAAATGACTCGGAAAAGTTTATGAGTTATTTTATTATAGAAGGACATAACTCAAAAACATCCAGATAGAACAGCTGTATAACAAGAATGGATGTGGAACATCATTTCCTCTCCAGACCACTCTCCCATCATTTCTTACTCACCAAACCCTGTCATTTGGGAACTTTGTGGAGGCTTCATTAGTAGGCATGACAGACTAAATTGTTGAATATTGGCAATTAAGTCAGTTTTCAATCCCTGGAGGTCAGAGGGTGGGACTGAAAATTCCAACATTCTTGCTGTCTTGTTCTTGAGGTGGGGCCTTGGGATCTTGCTATGTTGCCCAGGCTGGTCTTGAACTCAGCCTACTGAGTTGCTGGGATTACAGTCATGCCATGCTCAGCTGTCTTTTTTTTAGTTTTTGTTTTGCTGTGGTGGGCATTGAGCCATAGGACTTACATGTGGCAAGCACTCTACAACTGAGCTACATTCTCAGTCCTGAAAGTTCCCAAAAAAATTTTTTAATATATATTTTAATATAGTTTTATTTATTTATTTTTATATGGTGGTGAGGATCGAACCCAGTGCCTTGCATGTGTGAGGCAAGCGCTACAGCTGAGTGACAACCCTGGCCCCAAAGTTTCAAACTTTTAATCATGTGATTATTCCCTTGGAAACCATTTCCTATCATGAGGCTATCCAGGATTCCCCCAACCATCACAGTATCTCAGCATACCAAGAGAAAAATTACTTCAGAGATTACAAGAATTTGGGGAGCTGAGTGCCAAGAAATGACTGAAACCAAATACATTATACCCATCTAAGTTCTTCTCACCTTATGACATCCAAACCCAAGTAAAGTCCTACTTTTAACTATGTCAGAAATAGTCACCAATTCAGAACTATCCCAGATTCCTTAGGCTCTCCACTGAATTCTGTCATATTTTGTTTGAATATCTTGTAGCAGACTTATTGTTTCTGGTGACTGCCATAGAGAATGACTCAACAAAAGAGATGCAAAACGGAACCAGATACCAAGATTTTATCTTGCTTTTATGTTTGGTTTGATACTGAGGATTGGTGCGCTATGCGATTGAGCTACATCCCAGTTGTTGAGCATACTACATCATTAACATAGATCAACACCTTGTATCTTTCCATGATCTCAGAATTTATTGTAAAACAAATCAGGCCTGGGGATGTGGCTCAAGCGGTAGCGCTTGCCTGGCATGCATGCGGGCCGGGTTCGATCATCAGCACCACACAAAGATGTTGTGTCCGCCAACTAAAAAATAAATATTAAAAATTCACTCTCCTCTCTCACTCTCTCTTAAAAAAAAAAAAAAAAAAAAGATGTATGACGAAGAGTAGCACTGGCCCAACTATAACACTACATGTGATGACATCAAGAGCCTGGGTCCCTGCCTGCCCCATAGACACTATAAAATCTGTGCACATTTTTCCTTTGAGTTGGCCTAGGATTTCTACCCTCACATGCTGTCTCCTTTGTGCTCAAGCATAAGAAATAGAGCCTT